AACGTATAAACAAATGAGAGTGGCTGGGTTCCAACAGAACTTTGTTTCTAAAAACAGACCCACATGCCTTAATTTGCACACCCCTGATTTATTTTGTTTTTATTGCGGTCTTTAATGTATAAGAGTTCTTTGTGTAAGAGGAAAAAATAGGAATTTAAACAACTAATGAATTACACCACTCTCGATAACTATGGCTTTATACAATGTTTTCATATTCAACACAACTCTATTTGGTTTCTTTTTTTGAAAACAAGATTTTATTTGAGAGGCAGAATGACACAGAGAAAGACTCAGATTTTGCATCCTCTGGTTCACTCCCCAAATGGCCACAACAGGCCTGTCTGAGACAGGCTGAAGCCAGAATCCAGGAACTCCATCTGGGTCTCCCATACGGGTGGCAGGAGCCCAAGCACTTGGGCCATCTTTCACTGCCTTCCTAGGTGCATCAGCAGGGAGCTGGATCAGCAGTGGAGCAGCCAGGACCCAATCAGCACCCATATGGGATGCCAGTATATCAAGCAGTGGGTTAACCCACTGTGTCAAAATGCCAGCTCTTCTGTTTGGTTTTTTCAGATGATAAATTCCTGGGGCTGGCTTTGTGGTGTAGTTGGTTAAGCCGCTGCTTGCAACACTGGCACCCCAAATGGGTGCCAATTCAAGTCCTGGCTGCTCCACTTCTGATTCAGCTCCTTGCTAATGTGCCTGGGAAAGCAGCAGCAGATGACCCAAGTGCTTGGGCCCCTGTGCCCACGTGGGAGACCAAATTGAGGGCCTGGCTCCTGGCTTTGGCTTGACCTTTGCAGTCATTTGGGGAGTGAGCCAGTAGAAGGAGTATCTTCTCTCTCTCTCTGTAACTCTGCCTTTCAACCAACTAACTAAATAAATTCTTGTCAGAATACTTTGAAATGTCAAGTACAGTTACATATTTACCTCTTCAAGTTAAAATTCAAGTTTGACAGTGTAACACTACTAAACAATGAGAAAAGGGACCTTGCTTTTGCTTCTGTTTCCTTGTGAAATCTAATTCAGTGACCTGTATTTAAGGCCTTTGACAGCGAATCCCAGGCTCAGTTTCCTGTGCCTGGCTGCCAGTCCCTGATGCTGAGGCTTCACCAAGCCATGTGCCATTCCCCACCCAGGCCCCACCCTCCACATCTCCTCCTTTTGCTCCCTTATTCCTGCTAGTGGATTATTCTGCCCCTCACTCCTTGCCCACTGACTCCTACCCAATCTACTCTCGGCTCTAGTGCCATCTTCTTGGAAACCCCCATGGCACAAGAGCCAAGTGGAGGAAGAAGCTCTGTTCCTGCTAATCCATCTGGGAAGGCAGAGGATGATGGCCCAAGTGACTGGGCCCCTGCCACCCATGCGAGAGACCTGGGTAGAGTTCTTGGCTCCTGGCTTGGACCTGGTCCAGCCTTGGCCACTGGGGACATTTGGGGAGTAAGCCTGAGGATGGAAGATCTCTCTCTCTCTCTTTCTCTCTGAAACTCTTCCTTTCAAATAAAATAAATGAACAAATCTTAAAAATGTCAATCCTTCCTTGACCTCTTTCAAGCCTAGAATAGACTCTTCCTCCCAAACTTTTCTAAGATTCTCCTACGAGTTCCAAAAGATTTAGCTATGTGCATGTTTTTTGTAGCATTTTAAAATAAATGCAATGTGGGTATTTACCCTAGCAGTGAAGATGCTATTTGGGATGCCCACTATCTATATTGGAGTACCTGGTGTGAATCCTGGTTCCTGGCCTCAGCTTCCTGCTAATGTGCACCCTGGGAGGCAGCAGTGACGGCTCAAGTAATCAGTTCCTTGGCACCCATGTGGATTGAGTTCTGGGCTCCCAGTTTTGCCCTAACCCATCTCTGGCTGTTGTGAGCATTTGGGAAGTAAACCAGCAGATGGGAACTCTCCGTATGTCTCTTTTGTCTGTCCCTCAAGTAAACAAATAAGAAAAAGCTTTTCAAAATTAAAATCAAAAAAGGGAATTATTCTAATTCTTAATAACATGGAAATAAATGAAGTATTGTATATCTGTACAAGATTGTTAAAGATTACACTAAAATTGTGACCTAGTGTTAAGTGATAAAAGGTCTAGTTAGAATTGGAGCTGGTGCTGTGGCGCAATGGGTTAAAGCCCCAGCCTGCAGCACCAGCATCCCATATGGGCACCAGTATCCCATATAGGCACCAGTTCGAGTACCAGCTGCTCCACTTCCAATCCAGCTCCCTGGTGACGTGCCTAGGAAAGCAGCAGAAGATGGCCCAAGTCCTGGGGCCCCTGCATGCCTGGGGGAGACCCAGAAGATGCTCCTGGCTTTGGATTGGTTCATCTCCAGCTGTTGCAGCTATTTGGGGAATGAACTAGTGGATGGAAGACCTCTCTCTCTCTCTCTCTCTCTCTCAGCCTCCACCTCTCTCTGTAACTCTTTCAAATGAAAAAAAAATCTAAAAAAAAAAAAAAAAAAAAGAGTACATACAGGGGCCGGCCCTGTGGTATAGCAGGTTAAGCTGCCATCTGAGGGGTCAGCATCCCATATAGGCACTGGTTCAAATCTCGGCTGCTCCACTTCCAATCCCGGTCCCTGCTAATGCACCTGGGAAAGCAGTGGAAGATGGCCCAAGTGCTTGGGTTTCTTCTGTACACCTGTGGGAGCTACAGATGAAGTTTCTGGCTCCTGGCTTCAGCCTGGCTCAGCCCTGAGTTTGTGGCCATTTGGGGAATGAACCAGTGGATGGAAGATCTCTCCCTCTGTGTGTGTGTGTGTGTGTGTGTGTCTATCTCTGTCTCTGTAACTCTGCCTCTCAAATAAATACAAATTTAAAAAAATAGAATATATATAGCATGAGTCTATTTTCAGTTAAAAATATTTATACGTAAGTTGTATATTTGAAAGGGTCATACCATAACAGCGACACCTTTTGGTGTAATGATGGTTGCTGTTTCAGTTTCACTGTACTTTTCCAGTTTTGTAAACTCTTTTTAAGCACAACTGTGGATTATTTCTCTGCATTCTTAGTCCATGACATTCCATTTGGCATGTAGTGTTTCCTCAAGGAATGCATATTTGAATCCATGAAAGAACATAAATTATCATGAAACCAACAAGGTGGAAACAGTTCCACCAATACAGGCCATTCTAAGAAGCAAAAGAAGTCATCGACAGGAAGACACCGGGATGTAATTTGCCAAGTACTTGGCTCCCCGAGCCCTGTAAAGCAGTGTTCGTGGAGTCGCAGGGCCCCGTGCATGGCTTGCCCTCTGCAAACCAATGCAGACCCCTGAGTTTTTGTTCTGTGGCCTGGCACCCAGCTCCAATGACAGCCAGCACCTCTCGGATGTGTGGAGGGCCCACTCCCTCTCTGAACCTGTTCCAGTGGAGAATCAAGAACTAAGTCCTGGAATGTGCTTACACTGTAAATACAGATTTTTCTGCATCTATATAATCACAAGTTTCAAGCTTTCAGGCTTTACCACACACTTTGTAAAAAGGATTTGCTTTTCCTAAAATTTAGTCCACTGCTTTTTCACATCCCTCTAAACAAAAGCAAAAAATATATATATGCATGTATGTATATATATATATATATTCAGCCCTTTTTTCTCCCCCTTCAAGGCAGAAGGCAGACACAGCAGAGTGGCAAGGCCAATCTCTGATAAAGCTCTCATCCCGCTCCAGCTCGCCCCCACCCCTTCCTTCTGAGACCCTCACCATGGACACACGTCGCGTCCCCAGACCCCCCATCGGCAGCACGGGGCTCGGAAGTTCGCTTGGTTATAGTGGGTCCCGGAGCTACGCACGCAGCGGCCGGCGGTCACGCAGGGGTCCAGCTTCGTGGGCTGGGAAGCGCTGCCCTAGGGGGCCGGCCACTCCGACCCACCCGCCAGCCCCCCAGGAGCTGTGGGAGCCCTGGGCGGGAGAGGCTGCAGTCGCACGGACCAGGGGTTCCCGCACCAGCAGCCCCGCACGCTCACCATTGAAGCCGATCACGGCGGCCAGCTCCAGCTCGGCCACGTCGGCCTTGGGCGACATTCGGTCGTCCATCTCCGGGACACACGTCTCAGCTCTCCCTCGGCTCCCTCCAGTCTCAGCCCCAGCGGGTGCGGCGTCGCCTGGTCGTTATGGCAACGAGCGCGCGCATGCGCGCCGGGCCCACGCCGGTGCGCTCACCCGGTGCGCGGAGCTGGGGAGTTGGTTCGCCCCCTTGCAAGGCACAGGGGGCTTCTTTTTCTATTTCTCTGCAAATTTAGGGGGCCGGGGAGGGGGGACACCAAATGCACAGAATGAATTCCCTTTTTCCTTCTGCAAAGAACCTATGCTCAACCCCCCCTCCCCCATGGCATTTAACAAACGGAGGTTCGTTTCTGACGGTAGACGCTATAAAATAATATAAAATTGATGGAGGCGGGGCTGTTTGAAGCAGGATCAGAAAACTTGAAGATTTTAAGAGCAGCTTTGGAATACTTAGATATCAACCCCCTTAGAATCATAAATCAGTCTAACAAACTTATACAGTGTGCAATTATCATCACAGTTCTTTTTGCCTTGTTGTTGAAAGCTAACAAAAGTTTTTTTTCTATTTATTTTCGTTTTTCCGTAAAAGGCAGACAGAGAAGCAGGCACAGAGAGAGCTCTCATCTCCCGGTTCTCTCCCCAGGCGGCCACAACAGCCAGGGCTGGGCCAGACAGAAGCCAAAGCCGGGAGCCCAGCCCGAGTCTCCCACGAGACACGTAGGGACCCAAGCTGAGCCCGAAGCTGGGAGCAGGCAGGGCGGGAGCTGGAGCCCCAGGCCCCGCGGTGCGGGCCGCGGGTGCGTTTCACGGCGTCTCCACCGCGTGCCCGCCTTCCGCCCCAGACACGGAGTAACCTCCCCGAGTACCAGCCAGACAGACGTCCGCAGATGCTCGCGCCGTCCCGAGAGAAGCCCGCCATTCCGTTCAGCCACAGGCCGGCCGCGCCCCCCACCCCCACCCCACACGGCGCCCAGGGGCGCTCTGTCCTCCCCGAGTCCTGCGGCAGCGTCCGGAGGTCCTCCTGGGTGTTTGCGTTCGCGTCCTGAACAGCACCGCGGGGACTGAGCCACACGGGCCGCCGTAGTCAGCTGCGGCGAGCAGGAAGTGTCCCAGCGGCGGCTGGCAGACTGCACGATGGCCCCAGACCCCTGGTGCGTCCCGCGCGAGGGTGGGTGGGAGCGCGGCGGCCGAAGTTCGGGGCAGCCAGGCTTCCGGGCGGCAGCCGGGCGCTGGGCCTCGGGGCTTGGAGGGCTTTGGTGGCGGTGGGGGGAGTGAGACGAGGGACGGCCAGGTCCTTTTCCTGGCTGGGGGCGCCTCTGCCACCCTTGGTGCTTTCCAAGGCTGGCGGGGAAGGAGACCTGGAGGACCCCGATGGGGGCGCTGAGGGTCGGCGCTCTGGGTGATGGAGCCGGCTCGCGCGGGCTTGCCCCGGCGGCTGTGACAGTGGGCGGGGAGTGCCCGTTTTTGTGCAATGTCGATCCATGTGGCGAGCCCTCCGAGATCCCGGGTGTGGAAAGCTGGGCTCCGGTTAGGAACCGCTGACGGGGGAGAAGGGAGGCGGGCGGGAGTAGCACCCAAAGGTCTCGGACGGCCATCAGGGAACTTTCGGGACCCCGGGAGGGCAAGGAGGCACTTGTTGGTGCGGCATCTCCTGAGTTCGGAGCACGCAGGACGCGAGCTGGCCCCCGGGGTTACCGAGCGCAAGGACTTTTACTGCCGTGGCTCTGTCTCACCTTAGCGGGACTTCCACGGGGACCAGGCAGTGAGCCCAGCGGGATGCATCCAAGTCGGAAGCCTCCCGGAGAGGCAGACCGGAGGAACTGGTGCAAGTGGGGTCTTGGATGCACGATTCAGGGAACAGTCGATCAAAGGGCAGGGACAAAACCCATCTGAAGGCCGGGTTTGTAATCCTGTCTGGTGTGCTCCCGATAAACCAAAGAAGCCAGCCGTCAGAGGGTGGGGTAGGGAACTTCCTTCTGTCCTCCGCAAGGATGGGATTGGCGCTTTGGTCCTGCCAGGGTGGCTTTTGGGGAGAAGTCTGCATGCGTTTTGTACTCTCTTAAAGGGACCTGAGCTAACTGCAGTTTGTTTTTAGTTTTGTGCAGGCTGTCCCATTGTTCCATCTCTCTCTCTCTTATTTATTTTTTAATTTATTTAAAAAGGCAGAGTGACAGAGAGATGACAGGGAGATCTTCCATCTGCTGGTACACTCCCCCAAGTAGCCACAACAGCCAGGGCTTGGCCAGGCAAAAGCCGGGAGCCAGCACCTCATCCTGGTCTCCCACGTGGGTGGCAGGGGCCTGAGCACTTGGGGTTATCACCTCCTGCCCTTAGGCAGGATGTAAAGTAGAATCACCCCCTGCCCTTAGGCTGGATGTAAAGTAGAATCACACTGGCCCTCCAGGGGCGGAGGAACTGCTGCGTTTTGTGCCATTCTTGGTTTCCTTGGGCTGTTTTCCTAGAAGCAGAACTCTTGGAGTGCAGATCTGTTTTTAAGGTCTTTGGTATATGTTATCTTGCAGAATTACCGCCCCCCCACTGGAGGCTGACTCCCAGGGTTTACATACAAATAGCAGAAAAACACATTTCTCTCCGGGCTGGAGCTGTGGTGTAGCAGGTAAAGCTACCCCCTTTAGCACCGGTGTCCCTTGTGGGAGCCTGTTCGAATCCTGACTGCTGTACTTCCAATCCAGCTCTGTGCTGTGGCCTGGGAAAGCAGTGGAAGGTGGCCCAAGACCTTGGGCCTCTGCACCTGCATGAGAGACCTGGAGAAGCTCCTGGCACCTGGCTTTGCACTGGGGCAGCTCTGGCAGTTGTGACCATCTGGGGAGTGTACCAGGGGATGCAAGACCTCTCTCTCTCTCTCTCTGCCTCTGCCTCTCTGTAACTCTGCCTTTCAATAACAAATAAATAAATCTTTAAAAAAAAAAGTTGCTCTCGTTTGACCTCACACCTCTTCCACAGGTGATGATAAAAAAAAAAGTGTTTAAACTTTCTCCTGTTGAGTTTGACTAGTGACCTTCTCATTAGGCTGTTGAAAGTGGACCACTGGGGGCTCTGAGGTGCCCTCATGAGCTGCCTTACGTGGTAGGTTATGGATGAGAAGGATAGAAAGGAGTGTGGAATGGGCCTCTGAGAAACCTATAAAAATAGGCCACTCCTGGCGCTGTGGTGTAGTAGGCTAAGCTCTGTCTGCAGGGCTGGCATCCTATATGGGCGCCGGTTCAAGTCCCAGCTGCTCCACTTCTGATCCTGCTCTCTGCTATGGCCTGGGAAAGCAGTAGAAGATGGCCCAAGTCCTTGGGCCCCTGCACCTTCACGGGAGACCCAGAAGAGGCTCCTGGCTCCTGGCTTTAGTCAGCCCAGCTCCAGCCATTGTGGCCATTTAGGGGAGTGAACCAGCAGAAGGAAGACCTTTCTCTCTGTGTCTCCCCCTCTCTCTCTGTGACTGCCTCTCAAATAAATAAATAAAATCTTAAAAAAAAAAAAAATCGGCACTGATGCCTCCCTCCTGTGTAGGGTTCTAATGTTTAGGGAATAGCACACAGCACTTGCTGTTTCAAAGGCCCATCAAAGCACAAGGTAACATCACTGTTGTTACAGAACACCCCCAAAACTGCATGGAGAAATTGCTATAGAACCCCTAAAACTGGGTCCACTGGCCCAGCGTGCAGCCAGCTGAGACACTGAGGCGGTGGAAGGAAGTAGTTCATTTTGCAGCACGAAGAACCAGGAGTCGAGCACCTGTTGCTCAATTCCCAGACCTCCCAGCAATGGGTGAAGGGCAGTGAATTCTGCAGGTTGAAACGGGGGTCAGCAGTGTGTGATCAGCTTGTGTGCAGGCCTCTGGTTGGCCCACAGCCCTCGCGGCCTCCCTTGGATTGGCGTGTTCTTAAGACATGGTCCTGGCATAGTGGGTTCTGGCTGGTCGCGGGTCTTTGGGTGTTTGGTTCTTACTTTGAGCAGGACTTGGGGTTCCTGCACAACATCTGAGAACAGAGCCCACTGGTAGGATGTTAGCCATTGAGGCTATGGGTGAGTCCGGGGTCTTGAAATTGGAGTCCTGCAGGGCCAGCCTGACCCTTGCACCGTGGCTGTAATGTATTGAGTTAATCGTTAGTAAGGAGCTGACTTGTAATCACCATGGTGCAGGCAGAGGAACTGCGGGCCAGGGGAGACACTGGGGCCTGAGAAAGTCTACACCAAGGGCATCAGGAGGGGTGGAGGCTTGGTTCCACTGTTTAACAGGAGCAGCAGGGGCCGGTGCTGTGGCAAAGCGGGTAAAGCCACCGCCTGCAGTGCTGGCATCCCATATGGGCACCGGTTCAAGTCCCAGCTGCTCCACTTCCAAGCCAGCTCTCTGCTGTAGCTTGGGAAAGCAGTAGAAGATGGTCCAAGTCCTTGGGCCCCTGTACCCACATGGGAAGACCCAGAAGAAGCTCCTGGCTCCTGGCTTTGAATCGGCGCAGCTCCGGCCATTGTGGTCAGTTGGAGAGTGAACCAGCAGATGGAAGATCTCTTTCTCTCTCTTTCTCTCTCTCTCTCTCTGTCTCTCTGAATCTCCTTCTCTCTGTGTGTAACTCTGCCTTTCAAATAAATAAATAAATCTTAAAAAAAAAAAAACACGGGAGCAGCAGGTGTTTCTGGCTCTGACCTGGCTCTTTGCGAAAGCTGATCAGCTTTACTTTTAGAGCAGTTTATTTGTTGACAGACTTTCTGGAAAGTTCACTGAATTCTTTTTTTTTTTTTTTAAGCTTTATGTATTTATTTGAAGGACAGAGTTACAGAGAAAGATCTTCTATCTCCTGGTTCGCTCCCCAAAGTGCAGGGCCCAAGCACTTGGATCATTGTCTGCTGCTTTCCGAGGTGCATTAGCAGGAAGCTGGATGGGAAGTGGAGCAGCCGGGACTCAAACCGGAGCCCATATGGAATGCCAGCATTGCAGCCAGTAGCTTTACCCGCTAAGCCATGGTGCCAGCCCCAGTATTTGGCTGGAATTTTTTTTTTTTTATGTTAGTAGCATGTTTAGTTTAGTTTTCTTTGGTATATTTTTAAAAACTTTATTTTGGAAGGTAAAAAGTCTATGAGGAGTAATACAGTGAGCTCCTTGATACCCGTCACGTGGTTTCTGTAATCATCAGTATTCCTGTCTCATCTCTTTTCTGGGTGTACTTTCAGGTACATCTTGTATTGACTTACCTACACACGCAGTGTTGTTGGGTTGTGTTCTAGACGTTTCCTCTTCCCTGTACCTCACTCAGTGTCACAGCAGCTCCATCCTCTTCGTCACCTGGGATGATGACTTAAGTTGTATTTTCTTTATGTCAGATTATTCACTAATCTCTTTTTTTAACCAAGCCTTTTATGTTGTGTCACAGCCTAACCCTTGGTAGCCTTACTACCTTGCAGACAGTAAGCGTCGGAGTCTGGGTATGGGACTGAGCGGCCAGAGCTGCCCCTGCCGTACTGGTCTGCTGCTGCCGCTGTCCCATCGCTGTTTCTGTGACTGATGTTCCTGAACTGGTACTTGAGGCATCTGTGGTGAAGTTGCCTGTTACCTGTGGGCCGGTGGTTCCCGCCCTCTGCTACACAGTGGAATCGCTGGGGGAGCTTCCAGAACTCCTCCCATGCAGGTGGAACCCAAATGGGTTCAATCAATGCCTGGGGGAGTGAGTGAGCTAGGCACTGGCATTTCTTTAGAACAAAAGATTTCCCTGTGGGGGCTGTTGCTGTGGTGTGGCTGCTCCGCTTCCGACCCAGCTCCCTGCTATGGTGCCTGGGAAAGCAGTAGTGGATGGCCCAAGTGCTTGGTTGGACCCCTGCACCCACGTGGGAGACCGGGAGGAAGCTCCTGGCTTCCAGTCATTGAGGCCATATGGGGAATGAACTATCAGATAGAAGACCTCTCTCTGTGTCTGTGTAACTCTGACTTTTACATGGATAAATAAATCTTTAAAAAAAAATTTCCCTGCAATTCCAATGTGTAGCAAAACTTTGGAACCACTTTAAAAAAAAACATTTTACTATTATTTATTTATTTATTTTTTGACAGGCAGAGTGGACAGTGAGAGAGAGACAGAGAGAAAGGTCCTCCTTTTGCCGTTGGTTCATCCTTCAATGGCCGCCGCGGCAGGCATACCGCACTGATCCGAAGGCAGGAGCCAGGTGCTTCTCCTGAGTCTCCCATGGAGTGCAGGGCCCAAGCACTTGGGCCATCCTCCACTGCACTCCCTGGCCACAGCAGAGAGCTGGCCCTGGAAGAGGGGCAACCGGGACAGAATCCGGCGCCCCAACCGGGACTAGAACCCGGTGTGCCGGTGCCGCAAGGTGGAGGATTAGCCTATTGAGCCGCGGCGCCGGCCCATTTTACTATATTTAAAAAAGATTTATTTGTTTATTTGGAAGAGTTACGGAGAGAGAGGGAGAGACAGAGAGAAAGTGAGAGAGATCTCCCATCCACTGGTTCTATCACCAGATGGCTGCAGCAGCTGGGGCTGGGCCCATCTGAAACCAGGAGCTTCTTCCTGGTCTCCCACGTGGGGCAGGGGCCCAAGCACTTGGGCCATCTTCTACTGCTTTCCCAAGTTCAGCAGCAGGGAGCTGGACTGGAAGCTGAGCAGCTGGGACTTGAACCTGTGTCCATATGGGATGTCGGCACTGCAGGCGGTGCTTAACTTGCTACCCCACAACACTGGCCCCGAGTTCCTCTTTCCATGGATGACGAGAATGGAAGGAAAAGGTTGAAATGTGGCCAGGCTGGGACCAGAACCCAGTGTTCCTTATTTAGCCTCCTGCTTCCTTAGCCACATGCTGTTTGGTTAGGGCAGGATCCTGCCGCACGGATCCTAGTGAAGTCTGCAGTGTGAAGCTGCAGCCTGGTGCCTGGCCCAGAGCGGGCACCCAGCTCTTAGCCATCGGAGCATTTGCCTCCAATCGAACACTTCTCAGGTTCCTCCCATGTACAACTGATGTCAGTGCAGAGCTGGAAGAGTCTAAGGCCGTTTGTTTTCTTGAGCAGAAATTGGGACATCACGGCAAGTGGCAGTTTTCTGTCTTTTGTCATGGACATTCCTGGCAAATATGCCATTCGCCGAAGTGTAGTAGAGTCCCCGCTTTTAAGGAGCAGGCCATCTGGGCGGAGAAACGAGCCGTGTGTGAATGCTTCAGAGTCTTTCCTGCGAAACAGACACGGAGTCAGGACTCTGTAACAGAGGGAAAAACCCAGGGGGGCTGTGGGGACCCCTCCACAGGAATCCCTGTGACTCCTTCAGAGCCCTCCAGCATCGCTGGCCAGCAGGCGGGAGCTCAGCACATGTTCTGAGAGCTGCTTGGAGGTCAGGTGCGTGTCCTTGGTGGCCAGAGCGTCCAGTCCTAGATCAACAGTGCTGACTGGGCCCGCACGTGGAGCCCTGCCCCGGGTGTCTGCTGTGCCTGTGTCCCGCGTCGTCTCGCTTCCTAGCAGGCATCAGCACTTGGTTCCTGAGTCCCGTGGGTTTATTTATGGTTCACCTTCCTCCACCCCTTAAAATGTAAGCGCCCTGAAACTAGGGACATTGTCATTTTTTTTTTTTAAATGCTCGGTTCATTCTCCGGTGCCCAGCACATGGCTCCATAGAGCGCAGGGCCTCCGGAAACATTGGTTGAGTGTGTTACCAACGCGGGGGTCCGAGTGCCACCTCGTCGCAGAAGGGCCAAGTGGTCAGCAGGCTCTGGGGCCAGACGGCCGGCACTGCCACCTGTGTGAGTCCCTCTCCCTCTTTGTTCCTGTGTAAGATGCCGAGGGCGGTGCTACCCCACTGCACACACTCTTGAGCACAGTGTCTGCAAACGAGGCATCAGAGGAGTGCCTGGCCCAGAGGCGGTCCCGTTCACTGCTTGTCCCCACGGCCGATTCTCGGCACCGTTCCCTCTCCCCACTGCCTGTTTGAATTTGTGGCTTTGAATGACAAACTCAGCCTTTGGGCAGAGAGCTCTTTGTATGGAGCCTTAAATGTTCTCCTCTCTTCTGCCCCCGCTGCAGGTTCTCCACTTACGATTCTACCTGTCAAATCGCCCAAGAGATCGCCGAGAAGATTCAACAGCGGAATCAGTATGAAAGGAGGGGTGAAAAGACAACCAAGGTAGCAGCCAGAGAGAATCGGGGCTCAGGATGACTGGCTTGAGCCGGGAGGTCTGAAAACCCTGCTGTGTCGGAGGCTGTGTGTGTGTGTGTGTGTGTGTGTGTCTTCGTGTCTGTGTGTGTCTTCATGTGTGTCTTTGTATGTGTGTACTTTCATGTGTATGTCTTTGTGTATGTGTGTCTTCATGTATATGTGTCTGTGTGTGTCTTCGTGTGTGTGTGTCTTCGTGTCTATGTGTGTGTATATCTGTCTTTATGTGTGTCCGTGTGTGTCTTCTTTGTGTCTGTGTGTGTCTTTGTGTGTGCTTTCATGTGTGTGTATGTCTTCGTGTCTGTCCTCGTGTGTGTGTGTCTTTGTGTCTGTGTCTTCATGTGTGTCTTTATATGTGTGTGCTTTCGTGTGTGTGTCTTTGTGTATGTGTATCTTCATGTATATGTGTCTGCATGTGTGTGTCTTCGTGTGTGTGTCTTCATGTCTATGTGTGTGTATCTGTCTTTATGTGTGTGTGTGTCTTCTTTGTGTGTGTTTCTGTGTGTGTCTTTGTGTCTGTCCTTGTGTGTGATCTGGTTTTTGTGTATGCGTGTCTCTGTGTGTGTCTTTGTATGTGTGCCTTCATGTGTGTGTCTTTGTGTATGTGTGTCTTCATATATATGTGTCTGTATCTGTGTGTGTGTGGCTTGTTTCCATTCGTCCTTGAAATTGACACGTGATCACTTCATAGTTTTTATCACTGAGACAAAGCACAACATACATCGAGTTTTTTTTCCCTAAAGGGCTCTCACCATTTTCTGCCCTAGTTCAGGGGTTAGGGGATTTCTTCCACTTAGTAGATCTTTCCGACTCCCTCTTTGAGTTGCCATTTTTCCAGCAGGACTGGGGTCTTTCTTATGCTCTACGTGCAATAAAATGTAGAAACCAGCTTTCGTTGTGGGCTGTGCAGAAGCAGCGCTGGGGTTTTGCTAAGGAAAGTTTTCTGAACTCCCGAGTTCATACTGGTGCCTTTACACCAACTGCAACCCACAGATGTTCCCTTACCTTCCCTGTTCCAGCTTTGTATTTAAAAGTTTCTCCCACAGTGAGAATCTTGATTTCTATTTTTTTTTAATTTATTTATTTGAAAGGCAGAGTTAGAGGGAGAGACAGAGAGAGAGAAAGGTCTTCCATCCATTGGTTCACTCTCCAAATAGCAGCAATGGCCAGGGCTGGGCCAGGCTGAAGCCAAGAGCTTCATCCTGATCTCCCACATGGGTTCAGGGGCCCAAGGATTTGGGCCATCTTCTACTGCTTTCCCTGGTGCATTAGCAGAGAGCTGGATCGGAAGTGGAGCAGCTGGGATGGGAACTGGCATCCACATGGGATGCTGGCGCTGCAGGGGGTAACTTAATATGCTGTGCCACAACACTGGCCCCGGGATAACCCTGATTTCTTTTTTTTTTTTTTTAAAGACTTATTGGCCGGCGCCATGGCTCCATAGGCTAATTCTCTGCCTGTGGCGCCGGCACACCAGGTTCTAATCCTGGTCGGGGCCCCGGATTCTGTCCCGGTTGCCCCTCTTCCAGGCCAGCTCTCTGCTGTGGCCCGGGAGTGCAGTGGAGGATGGCCCAAGTGCTTGGGCCCTGCACCCCATGGGAGACCAGGAGAAGCACCTGCCTCCTGGCTTTGGATCAGCATGGTGCGCCGGCTGCGGCTGCCATTGGAGGGTGAACCAACGGCAAAGGAAGACCTTTCTCTCTGTCTCTCTCTCTCACTGTCCACTCTGCCTGTTAAAAAAAAAAAAAAGATTTATTTATTTGAAAGGCAGAGTTAGAGGGAGAGGGAGAGTCAGAGAGAGTTCTTCCATCTGCTGCGTCACTCCCTAGATGGCCAAGATAGCCAGAGCTGGGCTGATCCGAAGCCAGGAGCTTCTTCCCGATCTCCGCTGCAGGAACAGGGGCCCGAGGACTTGAGCCATCCTCCATTGCTTTCCCAGGCCATAGCAGAGAGCTGAATCTGAAGTGGAGCATCTGGAACTCGAACAAGCATCCATATGGGATGTCAGCACTGCAGGTCATGGCCTAACCTACTGTGCCATAGTGCCAGCAGGGAACCCTGATTTCTAAAAGCATCCATAGATTTGTTTACAATTATTTATTTATTTGAGAGGTAGAGTTACAGACAGAGAGAGGGAGAGACAAAGAGAAAGTGTTCCATCCGTTGGTTCACTCCCCAACTAGCCTCAAAGGCTGGAGCTGCACCAATCAGGAGTCAGGAGCTTCTTCCAGGTCTCCCACATGGGTGCAGGAGCCCAAGGACTTGGGCCATCTTCTACTGCTCTCCCAGGCCATAGCAGAGAGCTGGATCGGAAATGGAGCAGCCAGGACAAGAACCAGCACCCATATGGGATGCTGGTGCCTCAGGCGGAGGATTAACCTACTGCGCCATCCATAGAGTTTTTTTTGTGTGTGTGTGTGTGTTTTTTTTTTTTTTGACAGGCAGAGTGGACAGTGAGAGAGAGAGACAGAAAGGTCTTCCTTTGCCGTTGGTTCACCCTCCAGTGGCTGCCGCGGCCAGTGCACCGCACTGATCCAAAGCCAGGAGCCAGGTGCTTCTCCTGGTCTCCCATGGGGTGCAGGGCCCAAGCACTTGGGCCATCCTCCACTGCACTCCCGGGCCACAGCAGAGAGCTGGCCTGGAAGAGGGGCAACCGGGACAGAATCCGGCGCCCCGACCGGGACTAGAACCCGGTGTGCCGGTGCCTCTAGGTGGAAGATTAGCCTAGTGAGCCATGGCGCCGGCCCATCCATAGAGTTTTAACGTCAGGATCTTTCTTAACAGTTTACAGAAAAGAGTTTCAGAATTGCCACACAAGTACCACTGTAAACACTAAGGAAATCCCCAAATTTGTGCTTTTTTTTTTTTTTCTCTAAACTTAGCCTATCTACCTAAGCACACGGAGATTGTTCTGTTCTCAGGTTATTGGGGTTGGTTCCTTTTTCCCCCATGTCACGATGGTGATGCAATCCTTTGTTCCTGCTTTTGTAAGGTTTGCTTCCCCCACCCCCACCCCAACCTATTTGATTTAAAATCAGTGAAACACTGAGACGGGTCAGAAGTCACACTGATGTGCAGAGGCTCCCTGGAGGCGCGTGCCTGCCCCCCCCCCCACGCGCACCTGCTTCTCATTCCCGCCCGGTCCGCCCTTCTGGGCTCTGCAGAGTCACCATCCCTCTGTGTCCTGATTGGCTTCTGCTTGTATAAAACACCAGTAGCCTGCTCTTATCCCTGCGAGTGTGTTGTAGGGAGCTCCCGCTCCCCACCTTCACTCCCAGAGACATCTTCATTCCCCTTACGGCCTCTCTAGGACTCCGTGGCGTGCAGGTGCCACAGGCCATCCATCTCCTAAGGGCGGGCCATCAGGTGGTTCCCGTCTTTCACTGTGTTCAGGGATGCTGCAGGGGCCGGCGCTGTGGTGGTGCAGCAGGTAAGCCGCTGCCTGCAGTGCCGGCATCCCACATGGGCCTGGCTGCTGCACTTCCCATCCAGCTCTCTGCTGATGCCCCTGGGAAAGCAGTGGAAGATGGGCCAAGTCCCTGGGCCCTGCAACCACGTGGGAGGCCTGAAAGAAGCTCCTGGCTCCTGGCTTCTGCCTGGCCCAGCCCAGGTCATTGCATCCATTTGAGGAGTGAATCAGCAGATGGGAAGATCTAAGTCTGCCTTTCATATAAATAAATAAATAAATCTCAAAAAAAAGTGATAAATAGGTTTGTCCTTTTTTAAAATAATTTTTTTGAAGGTGTCTTTTAAGGGTGAGTTCTCAGAACTAGGGCACATGTAAATTTTTTAAAAAATCTGCAGCCTTCATCCCCCTCCCAGGGGTCAACAACCTCAGTGCCCTCTGCTGGCTGGGTGTGAGATTCTGCACCGTCACAATGTGGACAGCAGAGGGCGCCATCAGCCTTCTGAATTTTTCCCAAGTGAGCAATGACACTGCAGTGTCGTTTATTTTTGTAGGTAGGGATACAGAGAAACAGACAGACGGAGCCCTCATCGACTGCTTCCTCCCCAGATGCCTGTAATAGCACAGGGTCAGACTGCAGCCGGGAAAGGGGGACTTCATCCATGTCTCCTTCGTGGGTGGCAGGGGCTTTAGCCATCGCTTGCTGCCTCCCAGGGTGTGCAACAGCAGGGAGCTGGAATTGCGAGTGGAGTTGAGGCTCAAAGCCAGGCACCCCAGTATGGGATGCAGCCGTCCCCAAAGCGTTTTTACCATTGCACCAATCCCCACCCTGGTTGGTTCGTTGGTTGGTTTGCTTTTTGGTTAAGTGAAATTGATTGTTAATTTTTTTTTTTAAAGATTTATATATGTATTTGAAAAGCAGAGTTACAGAGAGAAAGAGGCAGAGAGAGAGAGAGAGAGAGAGAGAGAGAGGTCTTCTATCCGCTGGTTTACTCCCCAGATGGACAAGACAGTCAGAGCTGTGCCGATCTGAAGCCAGGAGCCAGGAGTTCCTTCCGGGTCTCCTACATGGGTGCAGGGGCCCAAGGACATGCACCATCTTCTACTGCTTTCCCAGGCCATAGCAGAGAGCTGGATTGGAAGAGGAGCAGCCAGGACTTGAACCAGTGCCCATATGGGATACCAGCACTGTAGCCATCGGCTTTACCCGCTACGCCACAGCACCGGCCCCTTGTGGTCTTTTGTTTCCTGTGCTCCTCGTGATCATGCTTAGAAGGGCCTTTCATACCCAGAGGTTTTATAAATATTTCAGCCAGTTATCCACTTTTTTTTTAAGCTTTCTTTCTGTTGTTTTGGTCTTGGTTTTGGGAGAAAGTCTTTGGAATATTTGAAGTTTATTTCAGTGCTTTGTAGCTCTCCATTTCTTCTTCCTCATTCGCTGTTACTAGTGCCCCCTCTCCCCAGTATAAAATGCTCCATGTTAGGGCCGGCACTGTGACATAGTGTGTAACACCACCACCTGCAGATCTGGCATCCCATATGGGCGTTGGTTCTAGTCCCGGCT